AAATTCACAAAAGTTCTGCATTTATACATTCCTTGTTATTATAAATTTGTAATAAATTTCAACATTCTCTTTTGCAGAAGCAGCAGGATTTTCAGGAATTGGTTCACTGCAGAACATGAGGGACACTATAGAGAGACATGTCCATAAATCAAAGGACATCCTGTTTGAAAAGGCTAAAGATGAAATGTTGGATCTGCTTAGCAGTTTGAGGGTATGTTACATATTGAAATAAATACAAAATAATAAAAATAAATACAAATAATAATAAATACAAAAAATCAAATTGTCAACTGCTACCATAGTCACTTGTGCAATGAACTTTCCCAATACTGAGTGCATTGATTATTCTGTAAGAAACCAGTTTACTCAGTCAATTTCCTTTTTAATATACATTAGGTTCAGTCATGCCTTTAACCACTGATTTTTATTTTTAATCACTGGATTGGACTCCAGATGAGTTAGAGGAACTGTTACCAGCAAATACAGAAATGTTTGAGAGTCTGACCATGACAGAGAAGCTATAGTTGGATAAGTCCTAAAATAAGCCTCTCCACTAAACCACATAGTAAAGATCTCAGAAAACCAAAATGACATTTAAAAGATTAACGTTATCTTCTTCTTTGAAGCAAATTTTTTACTGCAATAAATAACACAAATTCAAATGCCAACTTAGACCGAGATCTTGGAGACTCTGGAGAGTACCATGAAAGAATCAATTGAGCTCTCATTCAAGATAGACAAGGACTCAATTCCAGGTAAAGTACCCATTCTTTAAATAATATTAATTAACTTTCAATAATAGTCTAAGGAGTATGTCATCAAAACTGTATGTTTAGACGTTTCAGAAGAACTTACCAGGGTTCAACAACTCCATGAAGAGTTTCTGAAAAGCAGCTGAAAATGGTAAAGTTCTTGGAGGTGACATATTTTAAAAAGTTGCTCTGCTGTTTACTATCATCAAAGTTTCCAGTTACATTATTTTCTTTGTTCAACAGCTTTCTTTGATCGCAGAACGGTCATCATGACATGTGGGATCTAGGGTTGTTCGAGATGAGGGAGCCTTCACTGAGGATGAATTGTTTGCCACAATTGTTTTTGTCACGTTTGATTTAGAGTGATTTACAATCAATTTAAGTGTGAAAAAATGTTTAAGAAAACGAAACTGATAAAGAAAACATTTTTTCCTGATGAACATAAATTAGTAGTAGCCTTTTTCACATTAGATTCTGATTGAAAAATGTAATGCTGATGAAGTGAGGGGAAAAAACTTATGTACTATTATTCAATCCAATCTGCTAGGTTTTTGGTGTCATTTTTATTGTTCTAAATTTAGGATTTTAGGAAACTTATTCATTCAATCTTTTGTATCCAACTCTTTTTCTTGGGTTCATGTAATGGTAATAAATTCATCTGATTTAATATACACCATGAAAAAATTAATTATCAAGCCTATACACTTATGGGTTTAAAATATGAAAGTTTAACTGCAAGAGATTTAAAATTTCTTCAGCAAAGATTTGCATTGAAAATGAAGAGCGATCAATGAGAAAATAAAAGAAAGAGCTACTTTTTTATTCTGTGTGTAAATTATTTTGTGTTGATTCAATGCCAAACAGGTAATATTTTATTAACCATCCAGCGATGTTTGATTTTGTTCATTCATGTGCCTTGCATAGTACGCTAACCAATAAACGTGAAAAGATCTCACTGCAAAATGCAATTGGTATTTTTTATTTCACAGTTTAATATAAGTGTTGAGTGTGTCCAGTTGTTTGGCTTGTTAGCAGAAACTAAGTGTTGAAAAAACAGGAAGTCAACATGTTGAGAAGAATAGCAAACAAACTAGTAAACTTAGAGCTGAAACACAAGGAGAAAGTGATGTTTATTACCACTGTTGATTAAAGATTCATTTCTTTTTATATTATTGTCTGTTCATATGTATATCTGTTCACTCTTCAGTGTAAGTTAGCTTAAATTGACATTCTTATGTTTACATATGATGTCTAGAGTGGCTCCAGTATCACCTTATATAGTAAAACCCCAGACTGTGTGTGAAGGGCCAAAGCTGAAACTGTGCTTTGGGGAGACACCTCATGGAAGACTTTTGGATAAAATTGTAAAGTGTGCAGAGGCTCTTTGCCATTTAGCTGGTTCTCCCAGCTGAGGGGGGAAGATGTAAAAAGGGCCTTATATGCCTATGCTGGTCACCCACTGGATTAGCAACTTCTTCTGCTGCCCATCAACACAGATCAGCCGGTACTAGCCTTGGATAGGCTGCCGTTAGCATTGGATAAGCTGGCATTAGAAATCGACTGTCTGGACATGCAGGGCTGCAGTGGGTAGCCTGGGGTCTTTTTGCATGGAGTTTGCAGGTTCTCCCTGAGCATGCGTGGGTTCTCTCTGGTTCTCTCCAGGTACTCTGGCTTCCTTCTGTCCCTTCTGAGGATTGAGGACCCAAAAGCAGAGGCAGGCAGGCAGAGGTGAATTTATAGTTGATTTAACGAAGAGTTACTGAAAAAACAAAGTCCAAACAAACAGGCAACCAAGAATCCAAAATTCAAAAATGAAAACAAAGTCCAAAAAAACAAACAAACAAGAAACCAGGAATCCAAAATTCAAACCATGAAAAATAAGTAAAAATGAACCAGAAACCACAGAGTCATCAGGGAAATTACAGTAACCAGGAGGAAGGCTCAGAGAGACGAGTTGGAGGAAGATTGAAGAAGTAAGACAAGGACCCAGCAAAGAGGAACTGAAGAGAGAGGGCTTTAATAGGAGACTGAGACAAAGAGAGGGCTAATGAGCAGATTGGGAACAGGTGAGCACAGAGCAGAAACAAAACAGGAGATAGGGAAAAAGGAGAACACAAGAGGGCAGCAGAGGACAACAAATGAAAAACCTGGAAGACTGGAAATAACTAGAAAGCACAACAAAATTATAATTAAACCATTAAGACTATAAAACATGGAGCAAAGTAAAACTTAACACTCAAAAGAAAACATAACAGAACAAAGACTGAGACAGTAACTAAGAATTAACCAGAGAACACAGCAAAAATAAAAACTACTAACACTAGAAAATAAGGAGTGAAGCAAAACTGAACACTAAACAGAAAATATAACAGAACCAAGACTAAGACAGTAAAACAAAGAGCAAAGAAAAACTGAACATAACAAGAAAAACATCACAGAAACAGAAACCTAACACCTTCTACAGTCCAAAAACATGACTGTTATGTTAATTGGTTTCTCTAAATTCTCCTTGTGTGTGTGAATGGTTGTTTGCCCTGTTCTTCTCTGTATTGCCCTGCAATAGACTGCTGACCTTGATAGATATTTGGCATGCCGTTTAGGTAACTTTTGTGGTAATTATTCTCAGCATTAGATCTTAGTTCTCTGCCTCTGACCTGACCAGCAATCCTCTTTTCATCTATTACTCCATTGCGCAATACACATCCGAGCGTGTATTTACACATGCTGAAGGCAGAATCAGTGTAACTAGATGCTTTGTGTTTAATTTTTCCACAGATATCTATGTATTACATAGTGCTGTCTTTAAACGACAAGAAATAGGCTTAAAGGGTGAAGCCCATACAAAATAGAATATATTTTTTTACGATCAACCGAGAGAAGAGGAGAAGCGATAAAAGCTCTGTGCTTAAAATAACATTTAATCAGTGCTGCATTGCGAGGTTAGACATGTGTTTCTGTTCTTTTTGCTTCCCATCTGTTTTAGTAGGGACATGTTCTGTCCGTTGCTGTAAGGTTCTGATGACTGAAAGTTTGTGTTCCAGTGGGTGGTGGGAGTCAAAAAGAAGCCACCCACTGGAACACAAACTCTCAGTCATCAGAACCTTACAACACCGGGCAGAACATGTCCCTACTAGAACAGATGGGAAGCAAAAAGAACAGAAACACATCAAAGATGCTCTCCGAAACTGTGGATATCCAAACTGGGCTTTTACCAAATCAGCAAGGAAATCCAAAAGACACGCAACAGAAGACAGCGATGGAAAAATTAAACGC